TGCTGGAAAATACAGGTGGGCGCCAGGTCTGGCTGCTGCCGCCCCCTTGCTCGCCTCCTGGAGGTGGGCTTCTTGGCTGGGAGTGTAGTTAAGTGGCCTTGGGAAAGAAACAGGGAAGGTATCTGGAAGGACCTGGAAGGGGTTCTGGGAGGTGAGGCAAGAAAGCTAATGCTGGCTTCCAGGGAAGACCCAAGCTGGGCCGAGCTATTCCCCTGTGGCCCGTGGGACGGGGCTTGGTGCCTGGTGCCAGAGGCCCCCCCATGTACTGTCCCGGGGCCACTCGGGGTTGCAGGTCGCCTGACGAGTCCCTCTGCCATTCCAGCCATTACCATCGGCCGCCTGGGCTACGTGTGCCCACAGGAGGTGGCACCCATGCTGCAGCAGTTCATCCGGCCTTGGTGTGTGCTCATCTGTGTGGGGCCTACCGCATGGTGGGCCGGGCGGCAGAGTGGGTGGGACAGGCCCAATCCGTTCCCTTGCCTGTGCCCACCCAGCCCTGCTCACCCTCAGATGCACGTCCCAGCCCCATCACCCTCTGACCCCCTGCTTCCTCCATGCCCCGTAGACACAAGGCCCACCCCAGCCCCTCTACCCACTGCTCCTATGGATGCCCCTCCTGCCCCACCCCTGCCGGCTGATTCCCCCCTGCTCACCTTCCCCACAGGTGCACATCCCTCAGGAACATCAGGGACAATGAGGAGAAGGACTCAGCCTTCCGAGGCATCTGCATGATGATAGGCGTCAACCCCGGGGGCGTCGTGCAGGTTGGGGCGGCTGGGCTCTGAGGGAAGGCACTGGGGCTGGGCTCGGGCGGCCCCTCACATGGGATCCGTCACATTTCAGGACTTTATTTTCTTCTGCGATGCTGTAGCCTCCTGGGTGAGCCCTAAGGATGACCTTCGGGACATGTTTTATAAGGTGAGGCCCCTGCTTCGCCCTGATGTAGTCCCAGGAGGTGGCAGGGGGAAGGCTCTCTGGGGGGAGAGGCTGAGTTCATCTGCTCTGTTCTGGTGTCCCTCCCCGACCCGCAGATTCTCCATGGCTTCAAAGACCAAGTTGGAGAGGAAAACTGGCAGCAGTTCTCAGAGCAGTTCCCGCCGTTGCTCAAGGAGAGGTTGGCTGCCTTCTACGGGGTCTAGAGGAGCATTGAGACTGCCGGTGAGGAGGCTGCATGTAGGGGCTGGTGCTGTCATCCGGGCTGAGGGAGCACAGGCCCTGATTCTTCCTCTCCCTGCAGGTTTCTGTCTGCGTCGTCATCGGAGGGGTGGCTGGGGAGCACACCGCGTCCAGAAGTTGCCGTGCCCTGGTCGAGGGGGGTTAGGGAGGAGTGAGTGGGACCCAAATCCAGATGCCTTCCCTGCCCATCTACCTGCCATGCCTGGCCTGTGTGGCCGCAGTGGTGGGCAGGTGGGTGGGGCCTCCACACTCATCCTACAAATGGGAGGGGGGTGGGACTTCTTGGCAGCAAGGGCCCCTTTCTCTAAGTAGGGTCACCACAGGCAGCCGACTCGGGCCAGCCATGTGGGAGGGAAGAATCAACACCACCGACCGAATCCAGCTTAGGGTGAGGCAGGGGGAAAGCAGGCGGGGCGGGGGGGTCCCTGTAGAGGTGCGGACACACACGTACACACGTGGCTACACGCATGTGTGGGCGCTGCGGCCAGCTAGGCTGGGTCAGCTGCCCCACCATTTCCCTGACTGCATGGAGACAGTAGAATTAGTGAACCCCTGAGTTAACCCATGAGGCCTTCCGTGTAACCTGCATCTAGAGTTTAAGACGCTTCAGCCGTTTTACCAGAATTGATGATGATTGGGGAGGGCTGGGTGGGTTGGGGTCCTTTGCCGGGAACCCAGGGCGGGATAAGAGGATGGCCACCTTGGGGCTGCCCTGTCAGCACACACACACACTCTGGACCTGCTCCGCACACTTCTGCCAGCTCTACGGCAGCCGCAGCCACCATGTCCCTCTCCTTGTCTCATCCCAGCCAGAAGAGTGGGGACCAGAGGAGTGGTAGGGCTGGCCAGAGGTCTCCCTTCCTTCCTCCCTCCTTTGTGCTCCAGTGACATGAAGACACTGGGCTGGGGCCTTTTTCTGGAAGAGAGCGGCAGTGGCCAGAGCGGCTGACACCTACCCCTGCCTCTCTCCATAAGCGTGTCCATTTAAAGGGCAGTCTATTTCTCTGTGCTCCTGAGAGCCCTCCGCAAGTTTTTATAATAAGGGCTGGGGCATTTAATTGATGTTGATGAGACAAAAGCTTATGCTTTGCCAGCAAGAAGGAGAGCAAGGGCTTAGAGGAGGAGTGGTGAGGCCCTGCGTCTTCCTGTTCATCACTGCTCCCAGCGGCCCCAAGAGCCTACCAGATTGGGGCAGTGATTCTAGGGATCCTTCTGGGAATGGCCAGGGATGTGGTCACCGTGAGAGAGGATCCCCTAGGACTAGAGGGAATGTGATTCTGAGTTGGCCTAGAAATGAAGCTGGGCCCTGCAGCCCCCCTAATGTTTTCTTTTTTCTCCTCCCCTGCTTTTTACTTTAGGGGACCCTTTAGGGGCTTTGGGGGGTCTGATGATTCCTGCATCTTAGGGTCTGCTCCATCCATCCCACTGGGTTCTTGGACCCTGCCCCCATCATAGTCCTGTGTCTTCTCAGACAGGGTCAGGCCCTGCCTCTATTCCAAGGGGCACTTGGTGCACATTCCATAAACTCAGCTGGTTCCCCCTCCCCCTTGAAACTCCAGCAGGTCTCTGGAAGCCATTTGTAAAAAAGAAAAAAGAAAAAAAAATTTTAATACCATTTAATTTCCTGGTAATTCCAATTCTTTGGAGCATCCTCTGCTGGGTCTTGGGGTGTGTGGATTGGACTGGCTGGCTGATGGGTTTGGAAACTCCTCCACCCAGGATGAGGGTCTCCAATTGCCTTCAGGGAAGTGGGAGTCTGGTTCATTGTCTTATTTTTTTTTAACTATTTAATTTTAATTTATTTTTGGTTGATTTTTGCACAACGAAGTTGTAGCTTCTCAACCTCCCCTGCCCTGGGCTGTGGACCCTGACTGGCCTCGATCCACAGTCCCACTTGCTCCCATGTCCCTCCTTCCCCTTCACCCTCTTCCTCCTGCGGGCTCCAGGGTCTGTCCATTTGTTACCGTGCTGTGCTGGGGATTGGCGCCGAGGTGGCGTGAGATTCCACTTGTGTAGAACTTTGTTGAGTAAAGATCAGTTTCATGTGAAACCTCGGTCTCCACCTGGCCTCCTGTGTCCTTGTCTTTGGCAGTAGAGATGTTGAAAGGAACTGGGAGGCTTTAAGAATGGGGGTGCACAAGATTCAGGAAATAATTGGGGGAGTGGGGAAGGAACTAAGCAATAACAAAGCATATTACTTGGGAGCCTCAGTTTTCCTCCTCGTAGAATGGTTAGGTTAAACGTGAAAGGTAAAGATTAAGTGTAATAAATACATGGAGTGCATTCTCTCGGCCATAATTACAGCTCACTGAATGTCCTGAGCTCACTAAAGGGGAACCATTAATATTATAGCCTAGGTTCAAGATCCCCACCTGCCTTAGACTAAACTGACTTCCACACTGGATAGCTGGGCATGTGTTATACAAAGCGCTGAGGTCCCAGAAAACTTAAGTGTTATTGTTCATAGATTCCAAAGAAATAACCCGGAGGACTGGCTGTGAAAGACATGGGTTTATGAGGACTTACATGCGCACCTGTGATGGTCAGCCAGTGATGAATTGCTAAGTCCCATCAGCCTGGGCACGGGTAGCACCAGGGGCGGCTGGCTGGTGTTTTATAGAGTACAGAAAAATGGAGGGGGCTGTGCCTCTCTGAGATCAAAACACTAGCTGTTTACAATTCAGGCTCACATCTAAAAAAGCTTCTCTTTGGCTGTTCTTAGCCCGAGTTGCTGGCCAGGTTCCCAAGGTTTCACAGTCCGCTTACAGATGGCCTTCACTGTATTTCCCAGGGTGGCAGGGGGAGTTGGAACATGGGGAGGGGCCCATGTTCCCATTTGCCATATGGCAAGTTCGACATTTTTGTAGAAAGCTTGGCCCAGCACCAGGCCTGTGGGAGATGGGTAAAATAGCGTCAATTACTAAGGCAAATGAGAAACTGCTGGGCTCTGGAGATGGGCAAGCCTCAGAATAAAAGGTGGCAACCTCAGTATGGCCCAAGGATCACCTGCACCAGCCTGGGGAAAATGCGGACACATCCGACATTAACTCAAATGTGTACACTTCAGTGAGGGAAACAATATAAACAGGGAGGCAGTGACATGTCCCGTGGAGAGACAGCGGGAGGGGAGAGGACACGGGAAGATGGTCGCGGTCTCACAGTAGGTGCTCTGGGGAGATAATGCTTGAACAAAGCGTTGTGGATACGAGGAGCCTGGCGGAGGGTGCGAGTGTGGTGCTATCACTGCCTGGCTCAGGCTCCCCGTCAGGTGCTGTTTTTATCGCTATGATTCACTTCTGTTCCACGAAGCCCCTGCAGTGTAACCGCATGTTTCTAGCTGCGGAAGGAGAGAGGAGTTCGAGTCGCCGCCCCAGACAACCCGGAAAAGGGCTTTGCTTTTCTAATCGGTGCGGTGTCACCCGAGGGCCGCGATTTTCAAACCAGAGCGGCTGGCCGGCGTCGGCACCACCGGAGGTGCAGGAACCGCCCTGACGGGTTTGGCTCAGTGGATAGAGCGTGGGCCTGCGGACTGAAGGGTCCCAGGTTCGGTTCCGGTCAAGGGCATGTGCCTTGGTTGCGGGAACATCCCCAGTAGGGGGTGTGCAGGAGGCAGCTGATCGATGTTTCTCTCTCATCGATGTTTCTAACTCTATCCCTCTCCCTTCCTTTCTGTAAAAGATCAATAAGATATATTTTAAAAAATAAAAATAAAAAACGCAGGAACCAGAAGTCTGCATGTTCCAGGCTTACGCAGCTCCAGAGCGAGACCCCCGGGACAGGAGGGGGCGAGGAGGGTGTCAGCATCCAGCCAGTTTCACGCGAGCCACTCACTTCCGGCCGGCGCCTTGACGTCATCAGGCAGAGCCGAAAGTGCCCTCGCGCTGCCTAGGAGACAGGACGCGGGGGCCTGCCGCTGACAGGGCACCACCGGCCGCGCCCACTCGGTCGTCATGGAGCTGCCCCCAGGGCCGCGCGACCATCCCAACGCCTGGGACGATGACTCGGACCCGGAGCCGGAGCCTGACCCAGACGCGCAGGCCGAGGCTTACGTGGCCCGCGTGCTCAGCCCACCGAAACTCGGACTGGCGCCCCCGCTCGCCCCTCCGCTGTCCGCGTCCGCCCGGTCTCCCGGCGCCCTGGAGCCTCGGGCCGCGCCCAAGATCCGAGCCGTGGGGGTCCCGGGCCTGCTGAGCCTGCCCCCGGAGCTGCAGCTCGAGATTTGCGCCTACCTGGACGCGCGCCTCGTGCTCCACATCCTGCCGCGCGTGTGCCACGCGCTGCGCGACCTTTGTGCGTGACCATGTCACCTGGAGGCTCCGCGCGCAGCGCCGCGTACGCGCACCCTATCCAGTGGTGGAAGGTGCGCACGCGGGGGGCCAGGGTCGCCCGCCCAGGTCAGCTTTAGGGCCCGGGAGGGAGTATCTGGGATGCTGCGAGCACAGCCCCTAGAGCAGACTTCCTGGCTGTCCTAGCTCCCGTGGAGGCTGAGGTGGTTACTGGTGGTGCCAGGGTCCCTGAATTCTGAGTGTCCATGAGGCAGACATTGGGGTCCTGACGCTGTAGAAACCTGTCTGGGGGTGTGGGGTCCTGTGAACTCAGGATCCAGCCATCATCAGGCTTGGGTTCTGGTGGTGGTACAAAGGCCCTGATCCCTGGCTGGAGGTTGACACAGGGACTTGAAAGTCTCAGATTGTAGGAATCTGCTTGGGGCTCAGGGTCAACCCAAGAATCCTCAGGTTCTGGGTCAAGATGCTGAGGCAGCAACTAGTGATCCCTTACCCCTAGGGCCCTGACCTAGGTGGTGGCGAGGCAGGGACTCTTGATCCTGCAACTCTTGAGCCCAAGGTAGGGTTTGGGGTTGGGAATCTCTGATGCCAAAATCACAGATCCTCCAGCCCAGGGTCTAGCCTGGGATCTTAGGTAGGGGCTGGTGGTCGTCACCCCTGCCCCCGAGGTCTTCGGTCCCTCGGGGATAAGACAGCTTGGTGGCCTTGAAGAGATGGGAGTCTCCCGAGTGGCTTGATAAACATGGATGCCTGGGCTCCATCCATATCACTGAATCTCTACACCTAGGGTTGGGCTCTGCATCTTGACAGCTCTGCCAGGTTTATAGTTTGAGAAGGAACACTCTCCCGGGTCTGGTTTGGATGGCCGAGGCAGAAAGTCCTCGCTCCTGTGCCCAGACCGAAGGGTTAAGGTCAGACCTAAGTCGGGGACGAGGAAGGACCTTCATGTCCTGAGGCTGCTATCTCCCAGACACGGGTTGGGGGCTGAGGCCTGAGGAGGTGGTCTTGAGACTCCACTCCCCCAGCTTCTGGAAACAGGGGTGAGGGGTAGTCCCAGACCTGCTTCGAAGGTGGGTGAGGCAGTGGTCTCAAAGCGAGAGCCTGGGCCTCCTTGGAGTGGGGTGAGGGATTCGGATGGGGGGTTTCTCCAAGTCTGGTGCTGGTTGGGCTCCCTGGGAACCAGGCGCAGGCTTGGATAACTGGTGTGGGTAGCAGAGTGCCTGCCCACCAGAGACCCCACTTGTGGTACCCCACAGAGGAGGACTTTGACTGGCCGGCGGCCTGCATTGAGCTGGAGCAGCACCTGTCACGCTGGGCGGAGGATGGGCGCTGGGCCGAGTACTTCTGCCTGGCTGATGGGCACTTTGCTTCCATTGACTCAGTGCTGCTGTTCCAGGTGAGATGGGGTTTGGTGAGAGGCCAGGCCGGGGTGGGCCAGGGTGACCCCAACAATATCTCCTTACTCCCCTCCCAGGGTGGGACATTCTGTCTGTCGGGCTCCCGAGACCGCAATGTCAACCTGTGGGACCTGCGGCAGCTTGGGGTGGAACCCAGCCGGGTTCTGGTCAAGGCCCTTGGCACCCAGAGCAGCACCCACAAGGTAAGGTTATAGGAAGCTCGAGGCCTAGGTAGGGTGCTGTGCCTAAGGGCTCGGGTTTTGGCACCAGACCTGACAGATGACAGTCTTACTCTGCTATTATTAGTGTGATTTTGGGTGTACTGTATGACTTCTCGGGGCCTCAGTTTCTATTTCTGTCCAGGGTCAGTTAGGATGAATGAAATGAACAGGCATGAAGAGCTTCACTCAGACTTGGATACACAGTAGGTGCTTAATCGATGTCAGGTGTGCCTGGAGAGGCCCAGGGCAAGCTGTGAGGAGGCCGCCCTGGGGGATCTGATAGCTCTGAGCGTGACTGTCGTCTTGTGTGAAGTGGCCATGGAGAGGCACCTTCACCAGTCAGTGGGGCGATCTAGGCTGGTGGCCAAGAGCTTGGTCTCTGAGCCAGGCTGCTGGGTTCCACTGCTCATTCTACTATTTCCTGGCTGTGTGACCTTGAGCGAGGAACTCGACCTTTCTGTGCCCTCAGTTTTCTCATTTGCAGAATGGGACACTTGACAGTATTCTCAGAGGGTCTGGAGAGGAATAAGCCCGTCATCAGCCAGCACTCTGTAAATTACCTCCTGAGACAGGGACGGCTTTTATGCCCGTTTTCCCAGTGAGGAAACTGAGGGAGGGGAGGTAATTTACCCACGCCACGGAACAGAGGCCCTATATTTCATCTCATTGTCATGTGGCCTCAAACCATCGCAGGTTCTGAGTCTCCGCAGAACTTGATGTAGGAATATTGTTGGGTGAGGGGGTGTGCGTGTCCTGAGCTCTGCAGACGGACAGACCGGCAGACGTCAGCTCTAATCTCTGCTGTGGCTCTGGGTTCTTGGGTTGGTTATCTTCCTCCTCGGGCCCTCCATCTAGTTATCTGTGAAGTGAGGCCTGTCACCTGGCTCTGGTCCTACAGGGTTGGGTGTGGTCGCTGGCAGCGCTGGACCACCGAGTGTGCTCCGGTTCCTGGGACAGCACGGTGAAGCTCTGGGACATGGCAGCCGACGGGCAGCAGTTTGGCGAGATAAAGTGTGCGGGGTCTTGAGGAGGGGCCGGGGGGTGTGCAGGGCCCTGCCTGGCCACGGCCCAGCCTCGTGCTCTGTGTGTCCCCAGGGGCAAGGCAGCTGTGCTGTGCCTTTCCTACCAGCCGGACATCCTGGTGACCGGCACCTATGACAAGAAGGTGACAGTCTACGACCCCAGAGGTGGGCCAGGGGCCTGGGCTGGGGCGAACAGGGCCGCCTGGGGGTCCCAGGGTCATGCTGGGGAAGGAGGCACTCGGGCCTCACAGCCTGGCTGGGTGACAGTCACATACGCCGAGGCTAACCCCTCCGAATGGCCTGTGCTGTGCTGAGGGCAGCACAGGGGGCTTTTGGGTGGGGGTGGAGTAAAGGACATAGAGGGTACCCAGGGGGGGCCTCTGAGCCGGAATCCCGTGGGAGGCAGACAGGCCCGAGAATCCAGGCTCTCCCACTCCCTGGCTGTACGACACCAGTCAGACTTGAACCTCAGTTTTCCTATTTTGTAAAATCAGATAACAACTCCAGCCCTTTCGGGTTAATAAGATGATAATAAGAGCACTTGGTGGATTGTTAGTTTACATCAAATCCCTAGAACAAACATTGCCCAGCACATAAGCCTTTTCTGTTATTTTTTAATTCTTATGTTGTTTAATTGAAGGGCCAGTGCACCTCATCCGGGCAGAGCTGAGTGGGGGTAGAGGTGGCAGTAACTCTGCTGGCATGAGTTGGCATTTTATGCTGGGACTTGCCTGTCTACTCTGTACTGGGAGCAGATGGGACAGGAGATGGGGGTGGCACAGGCCTGGGGTGCTGGGAGGCCTGGATTCAGCTGGAGCAGGAGAGGAAAGGCAGGTCATTTGTAGGATAGGGAGTGGGGGCAGGAAGCTGACCAAGGGTTTTGCCATAGACCACAGAGGCCCTGGATCCTGGGGTTGGCTTGGGGGTGCCTCTGAGGGGCTCTGATGTCGCCTTCCTCCCTGGCCCGTCACCCACAAAGTCGGCCCGGCCCTGCTGAAGAGCCGGCGGCTGCACTCCAGCGCGGTGCTGGCGTTGCTGGCCGATGACCGGCACATCATCTCGGGCAGTGAGGACCACACGCTCGTTGTGTTCGACCGCCGGGCCAACAGCGTCCTGCAGCGGCTTCAGGTGGGCCCTCCCCAGCGTCCCGAGGGAGCAGGGCTGCGGCCTGGCCCAGCCTGAGCAGCTCCGTCCCGTGTCCCTCCCACAGCTGGACTCCTACCTGCTCTGCATGTCCTACCAAGAGCCCCAGCTCTGGGCTGGTGACAACCAGGGTCTGCTGCACGTCTTCGCCAACCGGGACGGCTGCTTCCAACTTGTCCGGGTCTGCCAGGGCCTTTGCCCCTGCCCCCTCCTTCCTGAGCCTCCTCCCTACCCCTACACCCCCCGTGGCGATGGGTGGCTAGCCTGAGGAGAGCCTCGCCTGAGTGTCACCTGTCCCTCCTCCCTGCAGTCCTTCGATGTGGGCCACAGGTCTCAGATCACAGGGATCAAACACTCGCTGGGGGCCTTGTACACCACGTCCACTGACAAGACCATCCGGGTGAGGCCCCATGACAAGCCCCCTCCCACGCCGCCCCCACTGGCAGGGGGCACACCTCTTGACCTTCGTCTGTTGCCCGTCACCAGGTACACGTGCCCACAGACCCACCACGGACCATCTGCACCCGAAGCCACGACAACGTGCTGAATGGGGTAAGGCCCTACGCCACGTGCCCTGCCCCACATGCCCTGCTGGTTGCCGAGGGCACCCCTGAGTCTTCATCTCCCTGCCCAGATCTGTGCTGAGGGCAACCTGGTGGTGGCCGCCTCTGGGGGCCTGTCGCTGGAAGTCTGGAGGCTCCAGGCCTGAGCAGGCAGACGTGGATATGGATGTGGATCTGCTGGCCGCAGGCTGGGTCAAGGCCTCTGTTCTCGGGGCGGGAGGGGCCCTCCCCTTTTCTGGTGCTGCCCTGGGCTCAGGCCTGGGGCACAAGGACTCCAGGCCACCGTTGGGCAGGGTCCCTGGTCTGTGCTCCACGTTCCAGCCCACCCTCAGGTCCTGTTTACGATTGGACGCCTGCTTTCCCTTGAGAGCGAAGGGGAAATAAACCTGATGTACTGGTGCCGTGGCCTGGAGTGGTGCCTGCTTGGGGCTGGGACGCTGGGGTGCCCCCAAAGTCATCACCATCCACCCAACCGCCCTGGCCTCTGCTGTGTATGTCTGGGCGCGCCTGTGTCCACCCAAGTGCATTCCTGGGATCGTGTGTGTCTGTGCATCCCCAGGGAGGCGAGTTAGCTGGCTGTGTGTGATGTCACTGTAACCCCGTCTGTGACTGTCTGCATGCCCGTGAGTGTGCACGTGTGAGAGGAAGAGGGAGATTCTGGAGGATGTGGGCACCTGTCTGTGTGATGACACCTGTGTGTGTGTGTGTGTGTGTGTGTGTGTGTGAGTGAGACGTGTATGTATGCAGTGTGCAATGGCGTGTAGAAAGGGACTGTCCCTGAATGTGTTTGTGCCCATAGGTGTGTGCTCTTCCGTCCAGAGTCCAGGGGGGGTGCCCCTGTGGCAGTGACCCCGGAGTGGGCCGGGGAGGGGGCTGGGCCAGTGCCCCTGCAAGCCTGCAGCTCCCCACTGCCCCCCATTGCCGCTCACCAAGCCCTGAGGAGCATTTACCTCATGTTTATTGAGGGGGCCTCGGGGCCAGTATCATAGGATGGCGCAAGGCTTCTTCTCCTTGAAGGGGTTGGTGGCAGCAGGGATGCCCACCAGGAACGGGTCGCTCTTGGCCTGCTCCATGCAGAACTGCAGCAGGTCAGCGGCTGCCTTGGACACCTGCAGGCCAGCTCAGTCAGCCAGACCTTGGCTGTCCCTCTGTCCCCTCGCCCAGGCGTGCCCATCTGGCCTCAGCCTCACCTTTATGCGATCGATGCCAGCCTCCATCCTCAGCTGCTCCACTGCCTGGCGGGCCTGCCCGATGTCGCAGCCAATGGCCTCCCTGCTGGACATCTGGGGGAGGGTGAGAAGGGCCCTAGGAAGCAGGCTGAACCCAGACCTGGAGTCCTAGGGCCACGCGAGGGTCCCTGCACCTCTCCTGGTGTCCCCTGAGAACTGTCGGGTAGGGGTGGATGCTCCCCACCCATCAGAACCACATACCTCAGCTGAGGACTCTGGCCGACTCCTGGCTGCTCAGTTCTCCTGTGGCCCTGCTCTGCCTCTCTCCCTCGCCCCCCTCCCCCCACCTGGCCTCTCTAGTCCCCTCCTCCCTGACCCCTGCAGAGACTTTGAAGCCAGGACACTCACGGAGTGAAATGTCACCAGTGACAGCAGCAGCAGCTGCCTCAGCCAAGGGGCTCCCTGCCCCAGGAGGTCTGGTGGGCACCCTGTGGTCTTGCGTTACCTTGGCAGAGGGAGTGTGTGGCCTTGGCCTGTCACTGATCTGCTTAATCCCCTGCTAACTGGCCCCAACACCGCTCTTTTACCAGCCTCTGTACCCCAGTGTGCAGTGTCCCCAGGCTCTGGTGCATCCCTGCTTCTCCTCTCCATCTACACTCTCTGTTCCGGGATCCACAACATGGATGCCTCAGTCCACGGCTTATGCTGATGGCTTCCTTTGCCCCAACCCAGCCCTGCCCTGACCTCGATCCCCCTGAGGACCCTCCAGCCTCCTTGGTCCATCCCACCCATCGCTCCGGTGTCTCTCACCTAACTAGGCCAAGGCTGGATTCTGGATTGCCTTCTCCCCAGACCCTCTGCCCCCAGATTCACCACCATCCACCAAACTGCCCTGGCCCAAATCTCAAACTCCTTTATTCCTCTCTTTCCGGTATCCCCACCTCTAATCCTTCTCAAGTCCCAGCCAATTAACCTTCAAATTAGGTCCTGAATCTGGTCACTTCTCTCCACCACCACATGGGTCCCATCTCCACCCTTGCTCACTTGGACCAGTCCACCCTGGTCCACCCCCACCCCCGCCACTATTCTCAAGGCAGCCAGTGGGAAATGTTAAAAAGCAAATCAGAATAACATGGGTGAACCAACCTCGAGGACATTATGCTGAGTGAAATAAGCCAGTCACAAATGGACACACGATTCCATGCATGTGAGGTCCCTAGAGGAATCAAATTTATAGAGACAGAACGTAAGATGGTAGGCACTAGGGGCTGGGGTAGGGGAATGGGGAGCTGGTGTTTAATATGGACAGAGTTTGGGAAGATAAAAACATTCTGGAGATGGATAGTGCTCGCAACTGTTTGCATAACCATGTCATGTGCTTAATGCTGCTGACCTATACACTAAAAATGGTTAAGATGGTGAGTCTTATTTTTAGTCTCACTTCTTTTTTTAAAAAAGATTTTAAATTGATTTTGAGAGAGAGAGAAAAGGAGAGGGAGAGGGAAACATTGATGTAAGAGTGAAACATCAATTGGCTGCCTCCTGCATGCCCCCTACTGGGGATGGAGCCTGGAAACCTGGGCATGTGACTTGACCAGGAATTGAACCGGCAACCTTGTGAATGGGATGACACCCAACCAACTGGCCACATTGGCCAGGGCCCTCCCTTCCTTTTTAAAACTCTCCAGTGGTTTCTCAGCCTCTAAGAATAAAACCCACCTTCCTTACTACAGCCCATAGGCTCCTGCCTGGTCTGGCACCTCCTGCCCACTCTGAATTCATTTACCAACTTCTTCCTCCTTCATTCCTCATGGATCATGCTGATGCCCTTGTATGTGTTCATTTGTTCATTCATTCATTCATTCAGTATCTTTGCTGAGATCCCAATATGAGTCCAACACTGCTTAGGGCAGTGGTTCTCAGCCTTGGCTGCACATTAGAATCACCTGGGAATCTTTTTTAAAATCCTGATTTCTGGGCCTCATCCTCCGGAAATTCTGTTTCTTTGTTATGGGGTGGGGCCACAACATTAGTAACAAAGAAACAGAATTTCCAGAGGATGAGGCCCAGAAATCAGGATTTTAAAAAGATTCCCAGGTGAATCTAATGTGCAGCCAAGGTTGAGAACCACTGGCTTAGGGTAAGGGGCTCAGCAGTGAAACCAGACAAAATCCTGCATTCATGGACTTGTGAGGTACGGACAAGGATCAATACCCATTGGATAAGAGATGCTCAGTGGCAGAAACTGACAGTTCCCGATGACTTGAATTCTGTCCAAGGGGACGTTTAAGAAGCCATTCTCGCCCTGGCCGGTTTGGCTCAGTGGATAGAGCATCGGCCTGCTGACTCAAGGGGTCCCAGGTTTGATTCCGGTCAAGGGCATGTACCTGGGTTGCAGGCACATCCCCAGTAGGGGGTGTGCAGGAGGCAGCTGATCGATGTTTCTCTCTCATCGATGTTTCTAACTCTCTATCCCTCTCCCTTCCTCTCTGTAAAAAATCAATTAAAAAAAAGAAGAAGCCATTCTCTCACTCCAGAGGACAGAAACGAAAGGACAGGCGCGCCGCGACGCGGTGGGCCTCCACTAGGCGGCAGAGTTCTTCCTGTGAGGCGCGTCGCGAAAAGGAATAATGGCTCTAAGCGGCTTCCGTATTTCGCAACAGGCCACACCCCAGACTAGAGGCCTCCAAGACGGCCATGTGACTAAACAACTTCCG